TCTATTTTCTCTCTTTTGTAAAGCATGAGGTCTCAGCTGTCCAGCAGAATGCATTTTTTAGCACTCATAAATGTACGATATAAAATTGTTTCTCAGTGACAGGTTTTAAGTAACTGCATCTTACTTAACGCTTGCCAATGCTTGTGCCATACACGCACACATATCCCACTTGAATTATACCAGCTTGGTTAAAGCAGTACAGTACCCTTGCCCCTACCTAGAACAGTTATACCAATGCAATGGTGGTTATGTCAGGATAGCTTATTCCTATAAAAAGGAGCCAAGGCACTTTTATACTGTGTAACAGCATAAACATTAGAGGTGGAACCAGCAAAAAATATTCTACCCCGAGCTAGCATAGTTATACAGGTACAAAAACAGGCACAATTGGGTGCTAACCGTAAGGACATTGGGCCTACTCCTGCATTTCTTACTCGGGCAAACCTCCCATGGAAGAGTATTAGTTTGCATAGACAAAAAGCAGCTATGTAATTTCAACCACAGTTACCTGTGTTTTACGTTAAGAACAAACAAAAAGAAAAGAGAGTGCAGAGAGTCTGCGCCAGACTAAACCCCAAAGGGCTGCCTTTCCCCGTACACAGTGTATTTAAAAGATGCAGTGCAACTAAAACAAAGGCAGGATTTACTTCCATATGAAGGGAATGAGTTTCACTGGCTTATGAATTACAGGACTTCACCTTGAAATAACTCTCTGTCTAATGACATGATTTATACTGCTTTTCTTGTACTACTTGAGACTGCTCTAGTAAACTCAGCCAAAAAAAAGGGAGGTGAAATTGTAAGCTACCCAGTCCTAGCAAAGAAACACAATTATGTTTTATCTCTTTGTTTTACAGAGGAGTCTTTCTAAGGTACTTCTGGGAAGAACTGGAAATGAATATCTTCTACCAGTTCCAGGCTTCAGCTCAGCTTCAGTAAACGCATTGCAAGTGCACAGACATTAACCTGCTTTATCCCTAGAGAATAAAAGTGACATGTTTCCTAAACGAGACAGAGAACAAAGAGCCACTCTCTGAAATGTATTTTGTACTAAACGGGTTTGTTGTTACTTTACCACTAAATTTGGGACAACTGTGACCTAACAACCTTATCATTAATGGGTAGGCCTCACCTAGTCTCTCCACCTTCTGAGTTTCATGGCAGTGAACAAAAGCAGGCTCTGCCACAATAACAGGGGTAACGTCCAACTCCACCTATTCCTGAAGAAGTTAAAGGCCAAATTCTCCTCTCAGATCCGCACAGACTTTGTAGCTGAAGTTGTACCAAAGTAAAGAGAGCTCAGCCCACAGCGCTTCTGCTGAGGCCACTGCTGATGTCCGGTGATTTGTAGCCTTCGAGCTGCGATGCACTGTGGGCACCATCATCCTTTTTCATTTTCTATAGCTGTGAGCAACATCAGAGAGCCTTGCAGGCCACATACTACCCACAAGCCATGGGTTGGGCCCCAGTGCTCCAAAGTGTTTGCTGTCAGACCCCTCACAGGGTTTGGGAGAGTTTAACCATTGTGCCAGGTTCCTGGACACGCTCCATCACAGGCATGTTCAGCCCCCAGACAGGAGCTGAGAGAGGGCAACGGTGCTCAAGTTCAAGCTGCAGAGTGAGTGGGTGAGCAGCACCAGTGACTCCTGAGTGCACTTTCTTAAGTGTGAACATGTGTGGATTGCACTCTTGCTAATCCATCTCCATCTGTTTTGGGAACACTTCTAGCTATGTGTAATCTGGCACTTTGGCTACTGGAACCAATACAGAGCAAATATGTGAGAGTAAGTGCCTTCTGGCCTGGGTAATCTGAATCAAATTTGGAAAGGAATGAATCCTGATTTACAGTATCCGAGAAAGCCAGGCTGCTAAGCCAGGAGTACCTGCTGGATATCCCTTCCTTCAGGCCACCTGTACCTAGAAGAGGAGAGCACAAGTAAATCAAGTCTTACTGCTGAAATGAAGCCTGAAGGATAACTCGGAGAACATTCTGCAAAACTGTATTTGCAGAAACAGCCAAAACTTACCGTTTCCACCCAAGAGATCAGCAGACTTTTAAGAGGTCACCTCTTTCTGAACATCCTACTCAAACTAGCAAACAGTTGTACATTATGTAATACAAACTACCACGCAACTGCTTTTGTGAGAAAAAAAAAAGTGACTCTGAAGATTAAAGCCAACTCATTTTGCTTGCAACTTCATCTTTGGTTACTTTGTGTCCTGGGTTTGTGTTCAACCTGCGCATGGGCCAATAATGCATTTAGCATCCTGGGATGTCCATCATCAACCTGGGCTAACAGCACTGGAAGGTCAGCTCTCTGGGGTAAGGATTGTCTTCTGCGTCTCTGCAGATCTTAGTACAACTGGGTTCTGGGCCAGGTTTGGGATTTTGAGGCATTACTGTAATAAATTGCTAATCCAAGTCTATTGAATGCCATGTGCTAAAATAATGTCTTTCCACAAGCATTTGCGAAGCACTCAGGATCATGGAGTCTAGATCTAGAGTGGAGTCTTTGGGGCACAGACTTATTTTTGCTAGAAATCAAAAATATATAGGCCTGGATTTGAGTGGAGCAGCCAAGCTGATGTCTAGAATCTAAGTCTACATTAAAAAAAAAAAAAAAAAGTCAAAATCTTGAAACTGCTGGTGACAAAAGAAAAAAACTGCAAACACTTTAAAGCTGCGGTGATCATCACCTGGGTGTGACACTGATACAGCCGTGGGCAGCTTGCAACTTTAGCCCAAGTTGCTGGGAACTATTCCCTGTTCACCTCAATTAGGTGTTAACTCATTGCCCAGTGAGTGAGTTAGGTGTTAACTCACCCACTGGGCCCCACCCCTGCCCATTACATTTTCCCAGAAACAGGACCCACCATCCAACTAATTTAGACACCCAGGACCAGTGCTGCCTTCCAGATTCTCCCACGGTCCAAGCACTCTCTCCTAGAGCTCCAACCTTCTGGATTTATCCTTTACCTCCTCAGGGAAGAAGACAGCTGAAGCCTTCAAAAACATCTATTCGATGCAGGTCCCAAAAACTAATGACTCTAACAAGCACAGATACATAGATAAATGCAGACAAAATAATAACTATGCATGTCTGTCTCAATTCCTGCACCACACTCAGCTGCTCTTTGGGCTTAGATTTAGAGTCCTTTCAGGAGTCCAGGGCTCCACCCTCCTCCAAATAACTTGCTCCAAAACATAAACTAGCTTCTCCAATAGCCCAGGCCAGACCTTCCTTTTATACTCTCCACATCCTTTCTCAGGTAGCCTTCTGATGAGCCTCATCAGGTGATCAAAGCCAGTACCAAGGAACTGCTGCTTAGTCACTTCCCCTGTGGAATTCACCTTTGAAAAGCTGGCTTGACCTGGGCATTTGCCAAGTTTAACCACCCTCCTTTGTCAGAAAGTGCAAACACTTCTCCTGTGTTTTACTTCAAGGAGGTTAAGGACAGTAGGGAGAGCAAACCAGCTCAGCATTATAACTAGAGCTTGAAATCTGACACAGATACGCAGAGGGTCTAAAATATCAAAGAGAATCCATACACTCTACATAGACTCCCCAGACCATTACAGATTAAAACCCAACATGCAAAAACTGCAAGCATCTGCAGCCTTTTCCATAGCCTTCAGCAGTCTATAGAAGTTCTGATGCGAAGAAGGACTGTCTTGGGATTAACAGAAACCAGCCTGCATCGCATCCCTCTGCTGAAGGATGTGCATTCAGGGAAGGACAGATTGAAACCAGCCCTGAGTTCCTTGTGTGCTGTTGGCACCGAGTTCCCAAGTATATAAGAGGTTAGATTTATATAACCTTTTATATATATATATATATATATAGAAAGAGAGAGAGAGAGAGAGATTTTTACAAAAAAAAAATCTGTCTACTTAGCCTTTATATCCGTTCCTTACAGGGCTGGCCACTTGCCTACGTCCCCATTTACACTGGGATAAGGCAGGCTGTAGGCATGACATCACAACAGAGCCCTGCTGTTCCTTCATAATGGCTGGATCTGGGCACACGCCATCTCTCAGTGCCCAGTGAGCCCTGTCAGGACAAGATCAGAAGAGGAATGGTGCTAGGGTCTGAATGCCTTCCAAACAAAGCAGCATGAACAGCAGAACTGGTAACTAACTGATCTCTTGCATCACAGTTTTGCTTCGATCCCTCCCCATCAAGTCTTATAACTTTCAGATGCATTCCCCATCCCCTGGATCATGCTGCCAGAATCCCCAAGACAGACTGGCTCACTGAACGGCTTAGCATGTATTTCCCCGGCAGAGGGAATGTGATATTTGAAGTAGAGAAATTATCTTTGATTCCAGCAGGCCCTTAGAGCACCCTCCCTGATGGACTGTGGTACTCACATAGAAGAGCTTAAAAAAAAATCAGCAGATGTGTGTCAGGCATCCAATCTTTGCTGCCCAAAAAAAAAGCAACTCTTCCATGGTTGAGCACCAACCATGCTGACAGGCTGCTCAAGAGAGGACTTGATCATGTTTAATTGCCATCTCCAGTCTTGCTGGTAATTTTCAGGAGCTTCTAGTGTTTGGGTGGATATAAAATTTAACCAATTGATTCCCAAAGTCCACGCTCAACTGATGTTGCCGTTCCATTGGAGGCCAAGACCTGAAACGGTATTTTTTGGTGTCGCTCCAATTTTTGCGCCTTTAGCCCAAGTAGTTAAATTGCCAGGGCTTCCCCAAGTTGTTTCCATCAGAGGAAGAAATCAGGAATTTCTCTGGTGCAGTCACATTCATCTGCCAGAGATGCACCCAAAGTTCCCCAAGCCAAATTGAAAGAAAGAGCAGGTTCCTTGCTGACCCACCTCCCATGGCAGGAAAGCAGCTCCAAAGCCCCCAGGGGTAACACTGCCACTGCTTATCCACCCTTCTCCCCTGCTGCTGATTGTAGTTGCCAGTTAAATAGGGTCTTAACTTAGCTAATTCACATGATCTAACTGGAAGGGGAATTGGCCTGTGCTATATGGGCTTGCAGCGATGGGCTCTAATAGCTATTACATGGTTTCTGCAATGTCAAGAAACTGGACTCAAGTGGTCCCGACTCCCTTGTAGTCCTGTGTTAGCTGGTAAAATTTAACTGCACCTGCTAACTCCCATGAAAGCTGCCTGGCGTTTGTCAGGGTTTTGCTTGACTTAGACAATTTGAGTTAAAAACAAGCCCTTTTTCTAAGTGAAAACACATGTTACTTTGTGTCCTGTTTGCTTTCTAGTGTCTTGCAAGAAGCTCTCTGCCTCTCACATTCTTTCCCACCCCCAAGCCTTGCAAAATAATACCTTCACTCCAGGGTCTGCAATAAAGTAAAACCATTAACCACATCATTTTAGCTGTATCTGGGCCACCTGGCCTAGTGACTCCAGAAGTAAACCTCCATTGTTTTCAATTTTCTCACAACATAAAGGGCTTCAATTGCTCCTTCAATCCTGGTAGCAAGGCTAAAAGCTCATCCTGCTGCTTTTATCAGGTCTGTGACTGTCAGCACCTTTTTGCGTAAGGGTATTCTGCTCATCAGTTTTCTCCGTTTCAATTTAGGTTAGATCACAGTTTACACCCACAGGCCCATTTGGTCACCAGAGTTTGGATGTAAAGAGGTAAAAAATGGATTGTCGCTTTTGACTGTAGAGACTGGAGTTTTCTAGTCACTTGGAATATACTGACCCATTGCAGGACAGCAAATAAGTAGGCAAAGCTTTACTGATCTGCAGACCACTCGGCTAGATTCTGCTTTGATGGAGGATGACGGCGAACCCGAGCAGAGCTGCTGGGCTTTCCTACCTGACATCTGCATGAGCCACGTGTTCCGGTGGCTAGACGACAGGGACAGATCCCGGGCTGCCTTAGTCTGTAAGAGATGGAGTCAGGCCATGTACTCGGGGTCTCTCTGGAGAACCAGAACCATCACCTTCCGTGGGATGCCTTCTAGGTTGCACACAGCAGAGCTTGAATCTTCTCTGTGGTACGTCAAGAAATTTGGCAAGTACTTGGAACACCTCGAGATCAGGTTCCTGAATCCTTACCATGCTGTCTTCACCCGAAAATTTCAAGTGACTATCAGAGGGCTTCTTTCACGCTTGGGCAAATGTAACAGCCGCCTGATGTCCCTAAGTATTCAGCACCTGGAGTTGGACAGAGTGGTCTGGAAAAATGGCATCCGGATTCAGTTCATCAAGAACTTAAGTACTTTCTTAAAAAGAATGGGCAAGCACCTTGATTATCTCAGCTTGAAAGGAGCCCGGGTGACGCTGGAAGAAGGCTGTGAGCTTTTGAGCTCTTTGAGCTACTTGAAAAATAAAAGCCTCATCTCTGAAATCAACATAGAAGATTTATTTGGTCACCACCTCCCTATCTACAACTGCTCCCTGTTTCACCAGACAATGTCTAAGTTCTGTAACCTGGTCATCCTGACCCTCAATTACAACTGCATTTCTGACGACCTGCTGGACATGCTGTGTGAACATAATGCCAATTCTCTCTGGACCCTAAATGTCAAGTGCCACATCCATGACCCTCATGGGCAAGTGGTATGGGGGATGTCCTGGGCAAACCTAGCCAAGAGAGCCCCAAAACTCAGAGTGAACTTGTTCTTTGAAAGCATCATGAAGCATGACAGTTTAGCCAGGATCCTGTTAGCAGAGATCCCTGCCAGGAGCATCAGTCTACGCAGCGGGTACTTCAGTGACTCAGACTGGACAATGAGACCCACCCTCACCAATATCTTGCCAGCTTACAAGCACATCCTACAGGTACGGTGGGGACAGAGACACTGTACTCTCCTGTTACTAAGCTGAACGGGTGGCCGTGCCCACGTTGGCCTTGTACCCAACTGCTGGTGCGGAAGTGAAGTCCTGACTTGAGGTCAAAGCTCACAAGGCCATTTTGCCCACAGATGGCAAGTCCAGCATGCCAGCCAAAGTCCAGTGTCCCTAATGTTTCTGCGTATCTAAATTCCTCAGGTAGCTTCAGCTGGCTGCGTAGTTTTTCATTTCCATTGGGTGGCTCAACTTTGCCCTTCTGAACAGCTGCTCTTCTCCAGCCCAGCTCTGGTGAGCAATAACGCCCTTTCATATTGAGTGAGGATCAGTCTGTAAAAAGGCTTTGGGAACTTCACAGATGGAAGGCTTTATGCCAAAAGCATTACTCCCTTTCAACCCCAGACTTTCTTTGCTCTCGATCAGCATGTATGAGAAACTGGAGAAAACAGATATGGGCCTGAATTTCAGGTACATCACATGTTGGCCTACACTACAAAGCTCTGCTTGGGTGGCTATATTGACAGGGATGAGGAAAAAAACCCCAGCCCCCAGTCAACACTATGATATGGGCAAAACCGTGGTATAGACCAGGCGATCCCAGGAAAAGAGCACACTGGTTGGCATAGCTTATTATGCCATTAGGGAAGGTTATACAGCTGTGCTGGTCCTGGGTATGACCTTAAACTGCATCCAACTGGAGGGCTAAGTGGGTACTTTTATAAGTTGGGAATAGGGCACGTCAAAACCCTAGCCCCCACCACCTTGTGGGTACTCCTTAGTTGGAGAAAGGCTAAGGGACATCACCCCGACAGAATCACACCCTTGCTGAGGCATTAGACAGTCAGCAGCAGCTCTAATCTACAGCTACAACCGCCGAGGCTCTGCCAGTCTGGCCTTTGAACTGTCTCGGTGGTTTAAAGTGGGGATGGTAGGTCTAGGGCAGCCTCCACTCCTCCATATTCCTGCCTAGGTGTATGTGCTGAAGGGCTTGGTGTGATGATCCCGTAGACCTCTTGCACGTACACCATGATGCAGAGGATTGACGGTTGCCAAGTATAGCTGGACTGGCAGAAAAACTTCTGCTGCCGTATGCCGTGTGTCCGCAAGAGGGCTCTGTTGACTTAAATATGTGAGTACTGCTCTTGGTTGAGCTTCAGTAACATCCGACCCTATGGGATGCTCTGGGTGTTACTGTTAGGTACATACATACCAGTGCCACTGTACCAAGGTACAAAATGGATGTGCTGGTAAGACAGTAAAAGGAGAAAAGGCTGGCTGACAGGATCCCCGTGAAACTGCCACAGCAGAGAGGCCTCTGCTTCTGCACAGAAATTAACCGTGTTATTAATTTTCAAGAAACTGACCCTCGAGTTCAACCATGACCACGAACCACTGGATGAGGAGCTGCTGCAGCTCGTGCTAGCATGCGAAAGGCTCTTCTTCCTGAAAGTCTGGGCCTTCCTCAGCGTCACATTTATGGAGCAGCTGCTCCAAAAACGGGCCGAAAGGAAATGCACCCTGTGCACCATAAAGGTACAAGCCTGTGTTGTAAAATCTCTTTCCCCTGCTCCTCTTCATCAAAGCCCTCCACAGAAGGGCAGCCTCTGAAACTAGTGGTGCAGGCTTCTTTAGATACTATCTCAACATGAAGTACAAGGATCAGGAGCAGACTCCCAAGATCCACTGAAACATGGGTCTCTGTCCTGATGAGCCCCTGCAAAACATAGTCAGGAAAGGTACTAACCAGCTCCAACATGATGGATGTACCTAAAAGTACACATTAAACCTTAATCCCATCCTTAAAGCCCAGTAAGATTTATGTTCTGCACAGGGATGTTTGTTGAATCCAGGGGGAGGGCATAGCCTCTGCTGCTAGGCAGCTTAGCAGAACCCCATCATCACAGCTGGGCTCTCATTCCAGCAGATCCTCCAAGATCCATGTACATCCCAGAGGATCCATGGGCTCTGGGGACAGAGCCACCTGTTTATCTCATAGGGAAAGGAGCCTTCCCCACCCCACATCAGACATTGCGAGGTTGACGCGCCAAACAGGAGACTCATTTTTCACTCCCTGAGGCACAGCTCTCTGAGACAGCCCCAAACCCAAACTGAATCGGGACTTCAGGACCTGACCCCCATTTTCCATTAGAGGGATGGCTTATCGAAGCAGCCGCAGCAGTCACGAGGGCTTGTCCCTGTAACTCGCTGAATGGCAGAGCCTGCTGCATGTATCCCTGGTAGATGCAACTGCTCTCTGTCCACACAGGTCAGGATTTACACTGCCCGGCATGAGACCCACGAAGAGGACCGAATGCTGCGAGACATTTATAGGAAGTTCAGAGACCTAATTGACTCAGAGCTGAATTATTTTGTCATCGCCTACCCCATGGTGTGAGCCACTGGTGATTTCCGAGGAGACGTAAATAAAGATCACTGACACCCGCAAATGTCTGAGCCCATCCTTTGGAGGAAGCAGTGGGGAGCTTAGTGGGCTTAGCAGTGGCTCTGAAAGGGAAAGGCTGCTAGAACTGGAATAGGTAGGGAGCAAAGCCTGAATCCCCTAGATTAAAAAAAAAAACCTCAGGCTTTTTGCAACTGGGCCTTCCCATCCCACGTCTTTGCTGCTCTGTCTCATTTTTGCATTTATTCTCACAACGGCACTGAGCAAAGCAGAACTCATGGCCAAACTCATTTTAGTATGCTTCATTCACAGATCTCTAAGGACAGCACTATTATTACCACTATTTTACAAAAAGGGAAACAGAGGCACAGAGATGGGAAGCAGCTTGCCCAAGGTCATCCGGCAGGCCAGTGGCAGAGCCTGGAATTGAATCTGGGTGTCCTGGGTCCCAACACGCCATCCATTAGGTCACGCTGACGCAGCCAGCAGGTATTGAGCTACTGCACATTCTTAGCATCTTAAGGCACTGGAAAAACAATCGCATCTAAGGTTCACTGGCACCCCTGCCAAAACTAATGACTTTATGTAGGAACTTCTGTTTTAGCTCACAGCATTTAAAAAGCAGTAAGTGCTGAAGTGACACTGGCAGCATCCAAAATAGATCAGGTGACTGTAAAAATGGGGCTTTCCTTTTGTTCCATAACTGTATTGTTTAAACGGGGAGCCTCTGGAACTTGGGTATTCTTTGGAACAAGGGCACCTGGGGACAGTTTAAGTCCATTTTAATTCATTTGTGAGCACACAGGGCTGGGATCTGGTCAAAGTTACCCCAGGGTAAATCCAGAGTTGGTAGGGGACAGCTCAGAGTTGCTCTAGCCTTGCTCCGGAGCATCTCTCAGCAGACACTGGCCCGCTGTGCAGTGTGCTATCACTGATGTCAGGGTCTCAGAAGTTGTTGATGGAAATGGACTCCCTCATCTGCATGCAGAGCACTTCATCGATGTACAGCGTGTTCTCCTTGACCTGGATCTCCTCCTCTAGGGACAGCTGCCGGCGGCTCAGGCCCTTCAGCTCTGCCTCAGCCTGTGCCCATGTGTCCTTTAATCTAGGAGGGAAAAACCCAGGCAGATACTGGTGTAACCATGTGCATCTTATGTGACAGAGGATCACTGCACACTCTCCAAGTGAAACCCCTGGGGGAGGAAATCTCTGTGAAGGTCCCATCAGGGTACTTCCCCATACTGTTCCACTGGGAGGTGGCCCATTCCTGCAGGAGAATGGGCTCTTATACTCTCAGGGACTCCTCCTGGCCACAGCTCGCCTGACCCACCCCTCTTCAAATGGGGCTGCACTGGACAGGATATGGCTCCAGGCTCTACTACGTTTACCTGATCTGTGCTGGGTAAAGGAAGATACTGTAAATACCTCTGACCCCATTACAACTGCATCCCATCCCAGATGGTTGGGGACATGAACAAGCAGGGTGAGATTCTGAAATAGCAATGTTATAACACCCCTGCCCATGATCTGCCAACTCTTCCCAAGCAAAATAGTTCCTCTACACCCTTTCCCTTGACACCCAAGGACAAGGCCACAGAAGCAGCAGAGCCCCAAGAGAGAGTTAGAGGGAGTGGGTAAAAGATCCATTGCCACAGAGACTCTTTTAAGTAGAGATCTCAGAGAGGCATAATACCTCCCCCGCCCCCGTTAGAGCACACTGCGGTTGCTGGTTCACACCTATTAACATTATTCCAAAAAGGCTGATAAACCATAAGGTTGAACAAAATGAGTCACTTTCTAGTACTGTTTTCAAGTAAAAGTGGATGGGAGACTTTCTACATAGTTATGTTGTACTCTAAAAATACCTTTGTTTTTTTTTCCAGAGCTGGGGCCAAGAGACTTGCGGACATTTATATGACCTGTTCTTTTAGTTAGCTCAAATAATCATTTCAAGATCTAATGAGTGAAAACCAAAGCACCACTGCAATGTCTAGCTCTCTCTAATAAAACAACTTGAGACTTAACAGGCTGATGGGCCTCTGCTTATTTAGAAAGCCAGATATTGAAAATGCGTGCACGCACATCTGTATGTCAGTGTGGGGGAGATTTACTTCAACTGTTTCCATCTGCCCAGTCACTGACACCCAGCTGTTCCACCACTCCACTTGCCTCTGAATATTGCTTGTGATCTCCTGAACTTCACTCATCAGCCGGTACTGCACCATGTCACGACACAGCTCCACGTTCGGACGATGGGTCCGGGCCTCCAAGCGGGTCTGAGCCACCTTAGCAGGTCCTTCTTTATCGGCAACAGCTTTCTTTAAGGCTGCAATGTTCTTCTCCTGGGATGTTATCTCATCCATCACCTTAATGAATCCAACAGAGGGAAGAGCAATACATTGCCTCTTCCAGTGACTTCAACTTGATATCCTCTTTCATAACTGCCACCATAAATGCCTCAACTCAGAGTCACACAAGGTTCTTTGGGTAAATCCAATATCTTTTATTAGACCAGCTCAAATAGTTGGAAAAATTCTTCTTAGCAAGCTTTTGGGCACAAACACCCTTCGTCAAGGTGGGGATGCGAGGGTGTTTATACCCAAAAGCTTGCTAAGAAGAATTTTTCCAATTATTTGAGCTGGTCTAATAAAAGATATTGGATTTACCCAAAGAACCTTGTCTGCCCATGTGCTTAGACCAACATGGCTACAACCTACCCCTCTCACAACTCAGTGTCATTTCACCTGCAGATCTCAAAAGTAATTCTCAAAGGTGGGTGAAGATTACCACCACAGTCTTGCAGACAGAGTCACTGTGGCACAGTTTGCGGAAGCCAACATTTTCAATGGTAGTTGCTAACTTTGAACCTCAATTTCTGAGTATCCTATTTAGGAGATCTAGGCCTAATTTCAAAAGACACCGAGCACTCCCAACAGCAACCCATCTGAGTTGAGGACCCAAGCAGCAGAACACCTCTAAAACCAAGGGATGAATCATGGCTCCATTGCACTGAATGGCACCGTTTCCTTGGAATTTAATGAGGCTCAGGAGACTTGGGCAGGGCACCCAAACACTGAGAAAAACAAACAGAGACAGTTTCTGAAAATTTAAGCCCGAGTGACCTGCCCAAGGCCTCCTGGCACCAGGGGCTGCAAAGAAAATAGATCTCAGATCACTGCTGAGCCCAGAAGCATGCAGTTATTAGTCTACAGCTGCTTCTCCGCTCCTGCTGCATAATATTTAGCATTGTGATTGAAAGGAATTCTCAAGCTCACCTGTCTTCTAGGATGTGCAATCAAGAGGACTTGCGCCGCTTCAAATTGGAAAATGAATGGCACCTTAGCCATAAAAGTGCAGAAAGCCCTGGACTCCTTGAACTTCTAAGGCAGGGTAGCTTGAGCCTTTAGATCCTCCCAACTGGGCAACCCCATCCTGCTTCTACACAGTCCCTGCATGCTCCCCTCCGGCATTTACCTTTGCCAGGTGTGTCTCCAGTTTGCTCTTTGCATCTTTGGTCTCCTTCACCCGATTTCGGAAAGCAACGTTCACTGTGTCGCACTGCTTGCGCATGTCCCCAGCCGTCTGGGACAGGATGCTGTCGATCAAAGCCCTCAGAGCCAAGGAGTTGTTCCTCTGTTTGTCGGCCTTTTCGACATTTATGTTTGAGAAATCGACCCAGTCCTCAGGGCTCACAGAACTACAATGGCATCAAACAAAAAAGGTCACTCAGGGTGATGCACAGCCCATGCAGGTATTCATGGGCATGCGCTAACTCTGCAGGAAGGAAAGCAGAATAACACGAAGGAAGCATTATGGTATCAGAGGCCAGTGTTGGCTGCATCACAGGAAGGACCAGCTCTCACCCTCAAAGAGATAAAGAAGGGAGGGAAGGGAACCGATTTGCCAGTGTCATACAGCATGCCAGTGACCGAGTCAGGAATTGATCCCAAACCCCCACCCCGAGTCCCCAGACTAGTGTCCCATCTGCTAGGGCAATTTGGGTAGCAGAAAAGAAGTGGAGCAGGAAGCTAGATTAGGAAATCCAGCCACGTTTGCCAGTGACATAATGTTTTCCTCTCACTAACTGCTAACATCCAAACCATTTACTGGCATGGATGTCCATGAGGAACATTGCTATTGCTCAGGGAAGAGAGACTCGAGCAGTACAGCGATGGGCAGAATTAAAAAAAAAGCAGCTAAGAAAACAGATGGAAAGCCTTATTATATACAGGGGCTAGGCTCATCTTAATATAGCAGGGATAGTTTAAGATGCCTGCCTACACAACAAGTAGCTCTTTATCTGTGGCAACAACCACTTACTTCCCTTCCACCTTCACTACATTTTTGGCGTATCTGATATCAGGGGTGTTGTTTGTCAAGTCGGCGCAATAGTTATCGATTGTCAAGGCAGTGAACTTGTCTTTCAGATCCATTTCCAGGTTGTATTTAGCAGAACGGTTTAGCCTGGAAGGAAAACAATTAAACTCCGTTAATCTGCAATTGAATAAAATAATGGCCTCCTTCTTTCCTGAATTGAGGCACGGTGCTACTAACGAGTCCATTTTTGCCACTGGGGACACTCAGAAATCCCCCAGTGTCCACCCAGGAGCAGGTGAATTACGTAAGGCCAATCTTATTTTCATCTGCAAATGTGAATCGTAAGCTGTCACTCTGGCAAGTGTAGGGCATGAAGCTGCTCCCACCGAGGTCAAAAGCAAAACACACATGGGTTTACATGGTGCAAGTCCTGGAAACCCTGGACCTCACTGGACCAGCAGTCTCTTAATAAACTCTCTGCTGAAATCAAAGGGTGTGATCCAGTCTCTCAGAAGTCCTGAACTCTGATTTCAGCAGGTGCTTAGACTCTCCCAAGGTTTGAATTTAGCATATTAAGGCTCCATCAAGGACCCTCTCCAACATGGGGCCCACTCAGTGCTCTGCCCCTCGGCCGGCCCCTCTATACCTAATTTGCTCATTGCTTTGTTCCAGTGTGCGTTCAAGCAAGGCCATAACCCCTTGAAGTACTTCCACTTCCTTTATCAGCTCCCGTTCCACTTCGTCATGGACCAAGTCAATCCCAACTCGCCTCTCCCTAAGAGAAGAGGGAAAAACACCATCAGTTTGTGTGATTCATTTGAGCATCCCAGCTCTGACGACCCCTATGCTAGAGCATACTGTACCCAAGGCGTGTCTTTGCTATATCTGACTGGCAATAGCGCCTGATTTTCTGCTGCACACTGGGGTAACTGAACCAAAGGCAACTGAGGAGAAAGTCAGGCCCTGGGGTGGGTGCTTCAGCATTAGCAAGGCAGTGCACCCATCCAAGGACCTGACTTGCAACTCCTTTGGGTTCTAGCTGGGAGCTTCAACGAGACCTAATGCAGTCTGGTCCCCAGATCCCACCTCACATCAACACCACCTCTGCATCTTTTCCACAGGTGCCTTCTAAACTCCAAATCATTAACAAGGGTGGCAGGCGCTGAAAGGTTTCTAGGCGTAGGCTTTCAAATTTCCACTATTTCCAAACTCACCTACAGCATTCATCAGTTACACTCGCACTACTTATTATTTGGAATGGCTCAGTAATGTATTATTCTCACCTGTTCAGGAGACACTCTTGAGCAATGAAAAGGGGTTCTCTGCAGCTCTCCAAAGCTTTCTCTACCCTTGTCTTAAAAGTCAGCAGCACCTCTGTCTCATTAACAAGCTCCTCGAGTTTGTCATCTAATTCTTGCTTCCAGTATTTTATTTCTTCAAGTCTCTGCTCTGTAATAAGAAGACAGAAAATTAATTATATGCAGCCAAACATTAACTCATGGCCCACAGTTATGGACAAAATGGACTCAGGTTACAATAACCGTGGTGAGTTTATCTCCGAGTTCTTATATACCGTGGGACAGGAAATCTGGGTTCAACTGACTGCTTGGCCACATGCCTCCTGTGTGCCCTTGGACATGTCAACGAAGTCCTCCATGGCTACGTTCCTCACATGGGAACAGAGGTGAAAGTAATACTTTCCTGGTCTCTCCCATCTCACTAGCCCACAAGTCTCTGACTATGCTTCATTATACAAAAGAGCCATGATCTCACTGGTTTCTTCAAAAACTCTTGCTATGATGCTTCCAAAAGACACATAACCTGGTTGCAAAGACAGCTTCCTTGCCTTGCTTAACTCAATAATACTTAAATATCAAGCCAAGGCCCACTAGCTCCTGTATGGTTATAATACAGAATTCATCACAAAATAATGTTGGAAAGCAAATGCATCCCTATTTTTCTCTGGCATCAAGCAACATGCCATCGACACATGCTACTACTTAGTGCTCAATACCAAGTGGTATCCCCAGTGTTTGTGGGTGTACCTTAAATGTTGCAAACCCCAACGATCCCAGTCACACACAGAGCAGGCATCGTCACCTATTTTCTTGTTGACGTCGCTTTGGGTTTTCTGAGTTGTTTTTTCGATTTCGTCCACCAGCCTCTGGCTCTCCTCTACAACTCGCTCCGACCTGGATCTCTGAGACTCTGCACTGGCATACTGGGTCTTGTTAGCGATGTGCCACTCTGAGGGAAAGAACCTGGGAGGAACTTGCAAGAGTTTTGCCATTGTCCTTTTGAAATCCCAGGGTGGAAAAGCAGGAACAAAACTACCACTTAGCTACTAGGACGGAGAACCTGAAAACCAGAATAACATTATATTGGGTCTCGGAGGCAAAGAAAGTGAAGCAATCTGTATCCAGACAGGAGAAGGCGGGATGGGCGCGGGGAACTGGAGTGCCTGAATGAACCAGGTGAAGACTTTGCAATGACTGGCCTTTAGGTGCTCGTTGCGAGAGGGACCAAAAGCAGTCAAATCACATACAAATCCCTGCTGAGGGAATCACTGATTACTTGATTGCATGTACTGTAATAAACAGTTAGACTGTGTACGTGTGACTGGGGCCGATTCTGTCTCCCTGTATGCATTGCTTGGGCTTGTCAAAGCACCGCAGGGAATACAGGCATATGCTCAAGGCTACCAATTTAACACCGTGGGGGAAGCAGACACGAGTGGGCCAGGCCATTGATTTAGCTCTGCTGCTTGTTCACTGCATTGCCCCCCTTGCACAGATCTCACACTGCCTCTGGGAGGAGCATTCCTGTTCACCCCGTCGCCAGTGCTGCACAGCAAGTGTGGCCAACCTGGCACACAGGTGCCACAGGCAGCCTCTGTGTGTGGCACATGGCAGACTGGGGAGGGAGCAGAAAGCACAGGCGCAGGCAGGGCACCGGGCAGGACGTGACATAGCGGGTTGGGCAGAGAGCAGAGGGGAAGGAAGCAGAAAGCATAGCAGCAGATCAAGAAGGGAACGCAGGGCTGGGAGCGGAAAGCAGAGCAGCAGAGCAGGCAGGAGAAGGGAATCAGAGTGGCACACACCAGGGAGAATGTGGAGTTAATTTTGGGACACACCTGCCAAAAAGGTTGGCCCCCTCTACTGTAAAAGCAGCTGAAAGATCTTCTCAACATCCCTGAATAATGCAAAGGACAAAAAGGTACAGTCCCACTCTCTTGACTAGGGGCAGGCAATTATTTCGGGGGGAGGTCCACTTACTGAGTTATCCCCTTATCAGAGGAGAAGAGACCTTTAGCAGAAGGGCAAGGAGAGAAGAAAAGGAAAGGACGTGTGGGCTTGAGAGCAGTAAGGAGGGCCACTAAAATGTCTGAGATAGAGACAGAACAACAAGGCAAAATTAGATGGGGGGAAGTCTCTTGAAGAGAAAGCAAAGAGATCAAAACAAGGCTCAAGGCAGGAGGAAGTGAATGCGAGGAAACCCATTAAACAGAAACATGAGACTAAGAGGACCCTGAAAAAGGTGGAGGAGAAAAAATACCCAAAGGACAAGGAGAGGAAAGAGCAGAACAAAGGAGAAAAGGGAAGAGAACAAAAAGGGAAATCATCATCAGGTATTTCTGTTACTTATGGAAACGTTCCCGTTAAACCATCCCAGCAAAATGCATCCAACGGAGCAAGCGTATCCCAGGACCGCCCCCTCGTGCTGGAGATGGGGTTTTGTTCTAGCACTTCCCCAACCTAGCACTGTCTCACTCTCTCCCATCACATGCACAACCACAGCTATCGTTCAACACAGATGTGCATGCATGCACATCCATCCCCCCCATGTACAAATAAGCCAAACCCCACACATGTGCACGCGCACACACATCCAACCCCCTCTTTCTTTGCTGGTCCAGGTGCCGGCCTGACTGTTGCTGACCTGTCCGGCCAAATTGTGTGTCCGCAGCTTCCTTTACCAAATTAGCTCCAGGTTGTGCCTTCAGGCTTGGTTCCTGCAGCAGCAAAGCATGTTTCCCCTTGGCCCAGAGGAGCGAACTCAGGGCAACCTGGAACGTAAACAAAACCGTTCCTATGGGAACCAACAACTTCCTCCCGGCAACAGAGGCGGGCTGTAGTTCAGGCACACGGTTAGTCACGGCTTGTACATGGGTGTTGCCATCCCCTCCGGTCGGAAATAAGCTATCTGTGATGCTAAGATTTAACACAACCATGTGCTGGGGTTGTTTTTTTTTAAGATTCATTATATCACCACATTTGCAGCTTTGGATAGGTCTCTTCATTCCTGCTAATTTAAACAGAGACAAAATTAATTGAGCATCACCCTTGCATTGAAAAATACAGGCAAGAGCTTTTAAGGACCTGTATTTTTTTGTCAGCGGTGAAATGGTGTCAGCGGTATTTGATGAACATTGTATTTTTTCCAGGCAGTTATTTTTTTTTTCTTTCAGTGGGACAAAAACTGATCAAGAGCTGGAGATAAAAGAAGATGGAGCTGAAGTGAACAAGGGATCAGCCTATATACTATATTGTTGATGGGTTTTCTACAGCTGAGCTCAGGGGAGAAGGATCTGGTATTTTAAGAGAAGGAAGGAAGGAAGGAGGTAAAACACAGGTCATAGGAGAGGGAGAGCTTGGAGCTGGAAGGAGTGGGACTGAAACCAGAGCCTGGGAGAGTAAGGACACAGACACTGAGAGGAGGAATAGAGAAGGGGCTGGAGAAGAGAAAAAAAAAAGGGGCAAGGGAATATTATTAAGGAAGAATTCACTATTTATGCCATCCAGGAAGAGCACACACCAACTGCAGATGCTTCCTCCGCCTGATGAAGGGTTTCTCAACCCGAAACCTTGCAAAGAAAGTTGTTTTCCCCCAACTATTTAAGTTGGTCTAATAAAAGACAGCAGATTCACCCAAAGGACCTTGCCTGCCTATGTCCTTAGACCAACACGGCTATAACCTATACCCCTGTAAAAACCTTAATTACACTAATTGTTTCTTATGCCTCGACCCCACAGACACTGATGCATGTGTGCTTTACTCAATTGAGCAATCCCATATAAGACAATAATGAGACTATTCCCAGGAGCATTTATGTGAGCAGTTGCAGTAAGATCAAGCCCTTTAGCCTGTGCACTGACCCAAAATGCTGGCTCTGAACAGCTCTTCCCTAACTCTCGTAGGCGTACAGCCGAGGGCAGAGGAAACCCAGGGGCACCCGAACCCCAAGCCTCCAAGCTCCGGCCTGCAAGTAGGATGTCCACCAAAGGATTTGGAAGCAGCTGAAGCCCCAGGCAGCGGTGGAGGATGTTTGCTGGCAGTAGGGCCACGTACAGTCCTTGAATGACTCACAAATTTAGAATTGATTTGTCCACTTTGACTTAGGACACGAAAATTTTTCCTTAAAAACAAAAAAAATGGTGCAGGGGGCTGGACCCGATGATCTTCCAAGGTCCCTTCCAGCCTTACAATCTATGGGGAAAAAAAGCTCTTTCCTGCCTGCGGGCTGCAGCATCCTTTTAACAGACGTTTAACATAAGGAATCAAAAGTACAGGCTGGCCTCAGCTTACAACATTTCGAGTTACAATGTTTTGCACTGACAACATTTATAAATCGATACCGTGTTTCAACTTTCTGACCTCAGTTTCGACTTTACCATGCTTGATGCGACGCCACGCCAGCAAACAAGCTCACTGCGTCGCTCATCTCCCTGGAGAACATCAGTCCGAACTTCCTTGGCCCCTTTAAGAAAGCAGAGAAGACTCCAGATGAACCTGCAGCCAAGACTCCTGAAAAGACTCCAGCCAAGAGCCCTTCAAGAAGTCCAGCAAAGTCACCTCCACCTCAAAGAAGTCCTTCCAAATCAATACGATTGCTGTCTACAATATAAATATATTAATGTAGCTGTATTACTCATCTAGAATTGATTGAGTACAAAATTCTGGGCTATTTTTGGTGAAAATAGGGTATCGGGCTATCAGAATCAACCCCCCATATATAACATGGTTTCCTATGGGAAATACCGGTTCCAAATTACGTTTTGACTTGAGCCGTGGTTTTCAGGAACCAATTGTGTCGTAAGTCCGAGGACTGCCTGTGCTTAAATATCGTCTCTTTTCCAGTCCTATGATCCCCATAGCAAAATCAGGGAGAATAAAACCTGGCATGTGAACAGCCGGTCAACTGAAAAACTCCCTTTGATTGCAGCGGGCTTGGGTTCAGACCCCCTGGAAACAGGGGTCTCCTCTGCGAGTTACCATTTTTTAAAAACCCAGATTGCGAAGTACACCTACTGCCCCTGCAATACCCGGAGACTGGAAAAGGCAATCAGGACTCCTAGTAGAGAGGATATCTTTTATTAGATACTTGATCCAAAAAAAATATGAGGTTTTTTTGGGGGGGTTTTTTGCAACAAGACTTTTGCAAAAAAAAAAAAGTCCTGAATTGCAAGCTTTCGGGCACAAACACCCTTCATCAGGCACTGGAGAGCAACTGAGATCCCCAAGTGCTCAAGTGGGTGGCATGCTGCTAGGCACTGGGTTTAGCGCCCAAGGGTGCTAGGAGCGCCGCCCCGCGCCGCCCGGGGGCCACTGAGCCGCGGTACCCCAGCCGCTCGCCTCACTCGCCCCCAGCCAATCACCGGGCCGCTCCACCCGTGCGGCCAATCTACGACGACCAACCCCCGCGGCCGCGCCACTCGTTAATATTCTCTGGCCTCATGAATATGCTAATGAGGAGGCGGGTGATTGGTGGGCCGGGTGAATGAGCGGCGGGGTGTCGGCGAAGGTGGGGAGAATTGCGGTGCGGGAGGGCGCGGACGGAGCCGCTGCGATGTCAGCCCCGCGGACCCTGGCGGCCGCCGCGGCGCCCGGGGGAAGCGGGCGGGCCAAGCTCACGCACCCGGGCAAGGCCATCCTGGCGGGTGAGGAGCGCTGCGGGCGGGCGGGCGGGCGGGCGGGGGGGGGCTTGGCTTTGCGTTCCCTCTCCCGCCCGCAATGCGCACAGCGCTGGGGAGGGAGGGCTGTCATCTCCCACCCCTGGGGAGTGGGGTGCAGGAGGTGCGGGGGGGGGCTGCATTGCACATGTGGGGTGTTGGTGCAAGGGCTCCTGGGTGTGACAGGTACACACGTGTGCACCAGGGCTGGAGGGGGGTGTGAGCCAGGGCTGGCGTTGGCCTGGCCTGGTCTCCCCTCCTCCTACACCACCCCACGCAAGGCCCCTGGACCCCCAGCCCAAAAGCCCCGGCTCCCCTCCCAGGGCTGCTCGAGCCCCACGTGAGGATCTGAAGAAGGGTGCCGCTCTCCACGGATTCGCCCTGTGTACAAGCGCTTGCTGGTGTTGGTCACGCCCGTGCCGCGTTACCGTCGGGATTTGGGAGTGGTCGCCCCCGTTTTGTAAATGAGTTCATGGACGGCAGCAAACTCATGCGTGGACATGCCTACTGCACGAGGGCTTTTTATTTTTGGAGAGGAAGGGGCGCTAGAATCGGACGTCCTTTCCCTGCCAAACTATAATGGACTCGGGAAGGGGCAGATCAGAGTTGAAATGGCTTAAGCAATCGTCAAGCCTTTTGGACCATGGTGTATACATGGGAGGTCACCAGGATCTGCAACACATGCCTAGGCAGGAGTGTGGAGGCTGTCAAGATCTTCCACCCCCTTTATTGAGACGGCGTCCAAAGGCCAGACTGAGTCCAGAGCAGGGGTGGGCAATTATTTCAGGCAGAGGGCTGCATACTGAGTTTTGGCAAGCCATCGCAGGCCGCATGACAGACCGCCAGGGGCGGATAAATATTAATTTTCTAAATTTTTTAGGGGCCTCACAGGCTGGAGAGAAGGGGCTGGTGGCCCACAGGCCACATTTTGCCCACCCCTGGTCCAGAGCCTCCATGGCTGTAGTGATATGCACCTCCAGGAAGTGGACCCAGGTCTCCCACAGGGCAAACAAGGCTCCCACCACTAAGCCACAACAGGAGGTTCTAGTTAAAATGGAAACTTAGCTTAAAAATAGAGATTTTCTCAAACGGGCACGTAAGGGCTGGGGCCTAGTCCTGCAAATGCTGAAGTCCATGACAATCCTGCCTTGAACTGCTGCAGGAAAAAAATCAAGCAGCATGGAGGTCTTGAGAAGGATTTTTGCCTGCCAGTGAGGACTGTCAGGTTAGTGAGGAGCCTGACGCAACATATGCCCCAGCTTGTGAACGAAGCGTGGCCCCAGAGGCTGGGGGGGCACGGTGATCGCCCGCAGGCGGTGGTGGCAATGGCAGGGGCGTGACGGTGGTGTGCTCTTACAGGTGGCTACGGCGGCGCTGGTGCTGGGGGGTGGCAAGCGCTGACCGGTGGACAAGAGTTTAGTTCAGCAGTAATTCCCCAGTGTCAGCCTGGATCTGATCTTTTTGTCTTGGCTGCTTGTTTTGCACGTTATTGGGCAAAGCTAATGGCTCTTGTGCTTTCCTTCTAACTTGGAAGTGCTTTTAGTGTCGCTGGGCTTACTGCATTGCTCCCAAGCTTGTTAGCAAGAGTCTTTGCAACACGGTCTTGGCAGAGTGGGAGACAGTAGGATAGGGTACGAGGTTTGTCTGAGTTCAGTCTTTGTTTCCTTAAGCTAAGAACATAATGCTTCTCCATCTGTTTTTTGTGCAGGTGGCATTGCTGGAGGGATTGAAATCTGCATCACTTTCCCCACCGAATATGTAAAAACTCAGCTACAACTGGATGAAAAAGCAAACCCCCCTCGGTACAGAAGTATTGGTAAGATGCAAACTTCCACTGGTTTTGCATTTAAAATCTCAAACAAAGCTTCTAGTAAACTAGTTAAGCAGCATGCTCAGCACCTTGAGCATTCATTTAAAAGGTAAAAGCTGCTTATTCTTACCAAGGCCTGGAAATTGTCTTCCAGGTCACTGTGTGAAGCTAACTGTGCAAGATCATGGTGTCAGGGGTCTGTACAGGGGCCTCAGCTCTCTGCTATATGGCTCGATTCCAAAATCTGCTGTCAGGTAAAGTGATGGATACTTTCTTGTTCGTAAGAATTGTAAAGATATCAGATTTGTGGAAGGATGTCCTCTGATAAGAGGATGAAACCTATTTTATATAGAATTTATCTATCATTCTCAAAGTGCTAAATGAGACTAGTTTCGTGCGGAGGGATTTTCTTTTCCTTAAGTGCTGTGAAGCACTCCGTGCAATTCTCTCTCAAGTCCCACTGGATTTGCATTGGCTTTGAGATAATGACTTTGGTGCCTTGTGTTCTGAAAGATGAGGATTAATGTTGGAACTGGTAGATGAGTCGTTTGGATGGATGTCCAAAAAACCCTTCTTCAGTATCACTTAAATGCACTAGACCTGAAATCCAAGAGTTAAAAGAAATATATCAGCTCCCTGATTGTATTAGCTGTTGCTCATAAGAATAAGATGCCACTTATGCTTAAGAGAAGAGGTGAATATCCATTTTTGCCTTGTGTTACTGACAGCTTGCTGCACCTCGTAACTGGGATGAGAAGCTGGATTACTGATTTTTAAATCTCCCTAACTCTGGGGGAAAAAATAAAGCCTGAATACGTCTGACTTTGTCAGTCTGCCTCATCTTTATTTGAGGAAATCTGTGGTGGAGAAAATGAAACTTGGCTGTTCTCTGCAGGTTTGGGGTGTTCGAGGTACTCAGCAATTATGCAAAGGATTCAAGTGGGAAACTGGACAGTAAACGGAGCTTAATTTGTGGCTTGGGAGCTGGTGTAGCAGAAGCTGTTGCAATTGTCTGTCCAATGGAAACAATAAAGGTAGGCAAACTTAATCCACAGGTGCTAGAAGTTCATCTACACTAAGGTTTGAAATCTACTACTTGGTGCGCGCGTCTATGTGAGATATTTACTGCAAAGCTGTCTAGCTAGCTTTGCAGTAAATGTTTTGGCATCTCTGCAGGACCCCTGTTAGGTTGCAGGAAAATAATAAACCCACAGCAGATTATTACTTTTAAATGGAAGTACTATCCTGCTGCAGAGTTTTGTGTGCAGCAACACACATGTAGACCCTGACCCAGCTGGCTGGGGCATGAGGGTGTTTCAGTGCAGGGGCTGCCTGTCTGCTGGCTAGCCCCGCATGGGAGCACCCCCTCGGCAGCATGTTGAGTCGGGTTAGAGCAGCCCCGAGCGCCAGGCTGGCCCCCACTGGACCACCTGCCAGCCAGGGCTGCTCCGACCCAGCTCAACATGCTGCAGTCCCGGGCACGTGTGCAAAAGGCACACCTAGGAGCAATAAACTCCAGTGCCATATGCACCGGAGCTTATTGCTCTGTGCTGATAGCATGTGTAGATGCTCCCTCTGTTAACTAAATAAGATTGCCTTGGCTCTTTAGCGTGTTTTAAACTGTTTAATTTTTACCTTGTGCTATTTGAAGCTGCATCGGCCAACTCAATGTCAGCTACACTTATGCCTTAACGTAAGTGTGGAATGGTACAGAGTTCTGAAATGCTTTAAATAGTGGACGGGATTTTATTTTAAATGATGAGCTAAAGGATAATAGTCATAGCACAACTTTTTAAAGTTCATTTTGGTTTGTGTTTTTTTTTAAATTCTCACAGGTGAAGTTCATTCATGACCAATCCTCTCTCAACCCAAAGTACAGAGGGTTTTTCCATGGTGTCCGTGAGATTGTGCGGGAACAAGGTATGACTCTGAGCATACAATTAAAAAATGAAAAACTAGTTTTATTCTATTTTGAACCTAATGGCATCAGTTAAACGTGTCAGTTTTGAACAAATGGTCACCTGGGAAATACCAGGTTTTTTAAGGAGATTGGCTGTTGCCTTTTGGCCATTTGTTTGGTTTAATCGGCCTTTAATGATGTGCAAAAATAATTATCTAATCTGTTGTAGGCTTGCGTGGAACATACCAGGGACTGACAGCTACTGTCCTCAAGCAAGGCTCAAACCAGGCAATCCGGTTTTTTGTGATGACTTCCTTCCGCAACTGGTATCTAGGTGAGACCTAACCGGGATCAGGCTAGCAATTCACTTCTCTTCTGAGAAACGGGTGATTGCTTAGCAGTATCACTTTTTAAATTTCCTTACAGGCAGAGCTATCCAGGCTAGATCAATACTGCCTAGTATTTTTGTTGATCACTTAACTTACTGTAGGCATACATACTTAAAATGAACTTGTTTCTAAAAGTACTAGCATATATAGGAACAGCCTGTCTAATTATTTCTCTCTCTGCTTTGACAGGTGATAATACTCACCGAGAGATGAACCCATTGATTACGGCTGCATTTGGTGCTGTGGCAGGTGCAGCCAGTGTTTTCGGTAACACTCCATTAGATGTCATCAAAACCAGGATGCAGGTAGAGACTGCTTAAAAGCCAGTAGTGCAATGCCTTGCTTCTCAGAAATCAGGATGCTTCCTCCAGCAGCTCTCGTGTTGTCGTCTTTAATGAAACGGGAATCTCATGGGATGGCCTGTTCCCATGCAACCCTGCCACTTCATCTGTACCGCTGTGAATTATGATTCAGTAGTTTTATTTCCATTACTGTATAGTGCTGTAAGCTGTAGTTGTAGACCATGTCCCCGCTGTGCTCGGTGCAGTAGAAAAACTGAACAAAGAGCTTAAATTTTTGCCTTTATGATTTTAGTACAATGCCATAAATACTCAACTGGGTTTTTTTTTTTTGGTTTTCCTCCCCACCATGCCCTGTCCTCTCTTTCAGGGTCTGGAAGCCCACAAGTATAAAAGTACCTTGGACTGTGCCTACCAGATCCTCAAAAATGAGGGCCCATTAGCGTAAGTGGAATTCAACTCTAGTCTGTATATCAGGGATGGGCAATTATTTTGGGCGGAGGGCCGCTTACTGAGTCTTGGCAAGGCATCGAGGGCCACGTGACAGGCAGCCGGGGACAGATAAATATTAATTTTCTAAATTTTTTTAGGGGCTCCGCAGGCTGGATAGAATGGCCTGGCGGGCTGCATCTGGCCCACGGGCCACATTTTGCCCACCCCTGCTCTGTATACATGAGAGACTGCAATGTTCCACAGTTGTGATGGTTGATACTTAGTTTGGTTCAGCATCTGCTTGTTTACTAGGTTGGCATTTATTGACATCTTCCCCAATTCATTGTGCTGGCATCTCCTCCGCACAGACACAGCCCCTGCCCTGAAGAGAGCAGTTGAGAACTGCCTCTCCCTGCCCAACCTCACTTGCAAACATGTCTGTTTAACTTGCACAGTTACCAGAGAGGAAAAGTGATGGAGAAGTATACTGCATAATTAAAGGTCTTTTGGGTGGTTGTGGTGGCTTTTGGTTTTTTGCTTTTTTTTTTTTTCCCAAGCTGGGGATTTTTTCCCCCCAGCATACTTCTGAAGCAACTCCATCCACATGATGAGAACTAGTTGTCCTGCATCTGTAGGCAAATTGGACTGGGGAATTTAAGTCTTTTACTTCTAATAGCTTAAACCCTGCTATACTTTCATGGTTTTTATCTACTCATTTAGCAACCCTTAACCCACTAGCATACTTAAGCTCAGCTTGCTTTTAAAATATACTAGGAGCTGATTTATAACTGAATACAAGTTGTTAAAACTTTCTAAACTGCTTTCTTTCCAAACTTTGTGGCGGGGGGGAACTGCTTCTACTTATTTGTAACTCTTCTGCCGACAGATTTTACAAAGGGACGGTTCCTCGTCTTGGCAGAGTGTGTTTGGATGTGGCGATCGTGTTCGTGATTTATGAAGAAGTTGTCAAAGTTCTTAACAGAGTCTGGAAAACTGCCTGATGCTTTTCTGGCTTCGTCTGAAGGGGACAGTTGGACTGGCTGGTTAGCCAGGTCCAGAGATCTGAAAGGAATTTATTGCCAACTGTTTATTGTCAAAAGGTTTGTGAAAATGCAGAGACTATCGCTTTGAACTCATTCTTTTAAAGCAAATAAGCAGGAGCATCTAACATGGCTGCTCTGCTGGTACTGTGCTTCGGAGCTGATAAGCTTGAGCTCATCTAGAGAAGGCTCCTAGAGCATTATTACTAACAACATGTATGCCTGGTCCTAACGAAGCTGAGATGACAAGGGGAAACTCCTCTTCAAGTGAAAGCACTGGGCTGGATGCTGCTGTTTGCACCAATGCATCTCTGGAGTAACTTTGACTTTTCCACTCCAATGAGGCTCTGTGTAGGCTGGAGATATTTTAACTTAATTACAGATGTCTTACGTGGCTTCTAGTTCAAATAGTGTGAACCTCTGTTTAGACCCGAAAATAACTTTTAAACCTGGTGTTATAAATCATTTCACAAGCTAAACCATTTAAGTCTGCTTTAAATTTAATTAAGACTATCCAGGGGTTTTCAGTGGTGTCAGGGAAGATTTAAATAAACCAGCCGAGGGGAGGGGTAAGGCCTGAGTGACTTCATTAGATGACTCCGTGGATTTACAAGAGTGTTACTGAGAAATTGCCACATGGCAATTTGTGGGACAAAGAAGCACACTTTTTTTTTCCATGCTAGTTGATGGTGGTATGCGGCATACGTACAACTATATGTAAATAGTGTCATTTCTTATTTGTTAATACTTCTGAGTTCACTCTCTAGGCTAGGAGGAAGCTGCCTACTGAGTCCCTGCTGTGGAGAGAAGACTGGATCAGAGCTATGACACCAGTAGCAATACTTGAAAAGGAAGTTTTTCTGGGAGTGCTAGATCATTAGTAAGTAAGGATACAGTGCCATGGCATTTACTTAGGAAAGCTTGTGTAGAATTAGTACGGTTTTATTTGAGTAAGAACTATGTATCCGGCTCTGTCCTGAATTGGGAAGGTAAAGGTGTCCAAAGCTGCTACAATGCTTGACCCTTCATGTGCACTCCAGTGGCCAAGGCTGCACTTAACAGAGAACTAACCCCTTCATCTGAAAGCAACTGCTTCCAACTCCTCAAAGCTATATCGCTGAGTCCTGCTCTCCCATTTTATGAAGCGGAGAACTCCAAGGGCAGTTTCTTCCATGCTTAGTGCCCCCCGATGTACTTCGTACTCTTCACGAACAGATCAGCGTGACTTAAGGTCATGCCTTTTCAGTAATCCTGACAAAGGGAACGAAGGACGGGCTGCTGGTTGTCCCCTTTAAGAGAGCATACGTCTCAGACCATACACTTAATCTTCACGTGGTCCCAGATGTTCTTCTCGGCATGGCGTTAATCATGAAGGCAGTTGGAGATTTTGAGGACAATACCGTATTAACTTTTGTTGTTGTTGTTGTGCGTGTCACAGATGGATAGGAGAGGGAGAAGTGCTTCTCTAATGGGTGTAAAAACAAAATAAATGCACTGGAGATTAACATGAATGTAGTCAAAAAACTCAGGCCAGTGTTCACTGTTTGTGCTGCACTTGAGAGAGGAGTTTGGGAGGGGCAGAAGTGAGAGGATCGTGGACTTGACTAATTTAACTACAGCCAGAAAGTCTCATTGAACTTGACGAAAAGCTTTCTACCAGCTATAAAGGTGTAGGGGAGCCTTTAGTATGTGCCCTGAAGTTGAGGAAAGTAGATAATGTTTATATTGACAATAGCTTCTTGCCTCTCTCATCACTTGACTGGAGCACATGGTGGGACTAAAAGCAGGATTTGGCTCACGTTCAACCATGGGGAAGATGAGTGAATCTTGGTTCAAAGCCTTATTTCTTCGTGACCTTGACTTGTTTCTAGCCTAAGACCATAAGTCTCCTCGAGTTGAGAGCCAACTTTTGACTTTTTTTTTTAAATGTCGTTTTTAACTGGCTATCGGTGAATATTGTACTTGGCTTATCTACAGCGTTGCTGTACCCTAATGTAACAGGTACTGGTTCATAGCTGCAGTCACATGGCTCCTTTCCATAGCCACTGTTATCTTGACTGGGCAGGGTTGCTATAGCCAGTTGAATAGTTGCCCTGTTCATTATGCCTGCATTTGCTACCTTGATAAATGAATCATCACCAGGCACTGTAGTCTCTGAAGTTTCTGCACTGAACAAAAATGCTTCCATCAAAGCCACTTGCGTAGCTGCCAAAGTTCCTTAAGCCACAGTGATCCAGCTGTCTTAATTAACCCCTCCCAGGGGCACCAGGTCAATGCTCTTGTTGAAACCCAAGAGCATTCAGCCAACTCTTCCTTCAGCTTCAGGCTGCCAGTGATAGCTCTGCTAACCTCTGCAATGCTGGTACAAATAACCAGCCTCAGGCTTTTGTAGAGATCAGGATTCCTCTTTGCTAAAGCCTGGATGTGACTCGCTGAGACATGGGGGTTTTTAAAGAGCATTTCTGAGGGGAATGGGAATTTGGAAGCAATGCACGAGGCACCAAGTTGCTGTGGCTATGGGTAGCAGGCTCTGGCCCAACCAGCAGGAATAACAGCATGTTTTATATTTTCAGACCTCACACTTAACAAAATGAAGATCTGGAAAGGGAAACCAAGTCTGATTGGGAGATTAAATGCTGTTTGGAGAATAAGTAGTTTAGAAATGCTGGCAGCAGTGTAAAGTTCTATGTAGGTTGGAGGACCTAATGTTTAATTTTATTCTTTAGCCATACTAGCTAACAGCTCATTTATTATATCTTTCTTTTTTTTTTTTATATAATTTTGAATCTCCACTGTACCAAAATAATAATACTAAAAAAAAAATCAATCTTTTCAGTTATGGTAACTCACAGAGGGCCTCTTTACAAAGTTAGCAAGTAGAAATACTGTATGTGGGACTTCAATTGTAAAATACCCAGCATTGGTTTAATACATGAACTTACCAGTTAAGTGTGTATTAAACTTGCCCATTACACAGTGCCGTTACTAGTGAATGCTATGCTGATCACTGCTTGCATACTGTATTTATGTTTTAAGGAAAGCTGCTGTTCTACTGCTTGTGCCTTTTTTTCTGGCTAATATCTCAAAGTTACTGCTAGCTAATATTTCAGTTAATAATCTAGTTAATACTTCGAATTCATTTTTTTTCACTGCTAAATAATTTGTTTACAAGTTCAAACTTTTTTTTTTATCTCAAAAAAAATAAATTAAGATGAAACAAAGCTGCCTACAGCTCTGTGTTCATGAATGTAGTGAAGGAAGACCAAGAAAACAAAACTGTGAGTACTTTTGGAAAGGGATAACTGCTTCAGGAGAGTAAATTGGACCAAATCTTCCCATACACCTGCACAGTCCTATAGGTGAATGTATACAATGAATTTGCACAGCTGAATTGGCAGCTGAGCATGCTGCAGTCATCCATCCCGCTGAGTAGTTTCCAGCCGTTAGAGGTCAGTATTCTACTGTCACAGCTTAGAAAAAGGTATGGTCACGAACTATCCATTCTGGGTACGCTGAATCATGGGAAGGAAGGGCTTTAACTTACACACTATAAGCAAATGAAACTTATTTATCTCTACCCTGAGAGTGATCGCAATATAGCCAGCAAAAGACTCAGCCTTCACACCTTACTCCCAAGAGCCAAGGTCGGTGAGGTTGGGTACTGAACTGGTTGCAGTACAATCCAAAATGGAAAAGCTAATAGTTTTGAGTATTTCAAGAACAAATGCAGAATGAACTGCCCTGTCCTATAAAAGTAGAATTGAATCGCCCCTAAACAACCGGCTTGTTCTTTGCAAAAGTGATGTAATATCTCAGATGCTTGATTCAACATAAAGTGGCCTGGAACTTTTAAAAGGATACTTGAATGCTTTATTTCAAAACCACAGCTTGCTATTTAATCAAGCTTACATTATTATTAAGCCTGATTAAATAGCAGGCTTAATAATAATGTAATATTAATGACCTCTATTATTAAATGTCCTTTCCTACCACCCCATACCTTTGAAGTAGGTGTTTCTGGAGCTGGAACCAAGGAAATCTATCAGATAGAGCAACTTAAATGCTTCAGATTCAGTACAAAAACATATTCAAGTAGTACATGTCTTGTTTTAAATCAGATCTGCTTAGCAATTTTTGGCTCCCTAATCAAAAGAAGTTAAAGCTGCCACTTAAAATTTCCTTTTAGAGCTGGTTTGAAATTTTCCAATTTTTTTGAATCCCTGTGGAAATTTTGCGAAAAGGAACACTATGTGAAAACAAGTCTCTCAAAGCACTGTACACAGAAGGTCAGTAGGATAAAGCCAGTTTTACGATGGGGAAACAGATGCAGACGTGAAGCAGTTTACTTCTGGTCACCAAACGGCATAGGCAGGAAAAGAATCAAGGTCTCCTGAGTTTGTATGCCTATTTACAAATAGCACTCTAAGGGATGTCATGTAATCAAATGGGCAATACATCATTTTCCCTGTGCTCCTTAGATCCTTTTTACAGTTAATAACAAAAGCATGGGAATAAAACCCAACGGCACGTCCAGAGCTACTACAGAACCGGGTACCACTTCCTCAGCCTACTGAATCATACGGGGAGTTTCACTTTGGCTTTGTTGTTCAGCGAGGCCATAAAAATGACAGCTGACTGATTTTTGCCTTGTGTGTGGCACATTGTTTCCCTTCACATTTAATGCGTCTCCCCATCAGTTCTTTTTCTAAATGAAAACAAATGTTGACATAACAGTTGCCATCCGTTACAAACACCACTGTATATAAAGTGCATTGCTGAATTCTTGGTGGTGGCAGTGGTCCTTCAAAGTAAAGGATGATGTCCATCAGGCTCGATGGGTCCTCAGGTGACTGAGGATCCCGATTCTGGATGCACACGTTCTTCAGCAATGGGGGCATGTTGTTGCATGGGGGACTGGGATTTGCAGCCCTGGGTTTTGTGTTAGGCCTCTTAACGATATTTGGTAAATGATGTGCCCTTACACAGTTTATGTATTGAAAGGATGCAGATGTATGGTTATGTTAAGGCCTCGACCAAACTTCTCAACAGCCATTCAGGCAGGAGCAAACGAACCAAACCACTAATAAACTTCTGAACTTTGTTAGTGGGAAACACAGCGAGAAAATTACCCAGGGAAGGATGGATTTGGTAGCTGTGTTGGTCTGAGACAAAAAGAAATGCAAAACTCGAGAAGTCTTGGTTGAGAGATGATACCTTTTATTAGCCCAACTAAGAAATCACAAAAAAGGATAATTTTTTTGCTATTTCTTAGTTGGGCTAATAAAAGGTATCATCTCTCAACCAAGACTGCTAGAGTTTTGCATTTCCAGGGAAGGAAGCTAATTTATTGACTAATGCACACCATCCAGGTTAGGATGCTCCAGTTAGCAGTAAGAGCAGAGATAAGACCACTCCTTTCTTACATGTTCCCAGAGTGTTAAATCTTGTCTAATTAACACAGACTAAGACACCTGGTTGGACTGGTTTTCAGCAACTCCTTGAAATGAAGGAGTTTTCCGAATTTTGCTAGGCTAAATACAATCTTCATACATGCTAGAGTCTCAGATGATCACTCAAAAAAATAAATGAAGCTGTCCTTCCCATACTCTGACTGCAGAGAGAAAGCAGGAAGAAGGCTTACATCCTGTATCCTTACACTCCTTTTCTTCAGCTGAAATGCTGAATTATTAGTTCTGCACTGTTACAGTCCATTCGGGTTGTTTCACCGGTCTCCCAGGCATTTAATGCACCATTTGACAAAGGAGTGAACACAGCAGGGTGTCAACTGGTTAACTGGCCAGTAATCAATTGATTCCTTCCTTGAAGCAGGTCATCTGTCTTTCTAATCTGTTTTACATTCAAAACCCTGGCAGCTGGAATGACAGCGTGCTGGAAACCATAAGCCAGCCCTTTTGCAACATTCCTGAGTCTACACCACCACTGTGGGTTTTAACATCTTGCACTTAGGTTAGTATTCTACTTCCTGAAGCAGAAGGGCTCCTTTAACATCTTCGTGAATGATGAAAGACAGCTGGAGCCTGTAAAGATCACATCTTCATCGTTGTGAAAAAGCTCCAAAAACCAAGCTTGAGAAAAAGGTGCAATGGCAGTAACCTGAAGTCATTCCAATAAGATGCCAACAACTTTGCTGCCCATAGTGGCTTTTACGTTGACCCGATTTGGCAACAGAGTTATAAGTCTTACAGCCCCGATTACTCACAGCCCCGATTTGGCAACAGACTTATAAGTCTACTTCCTTAGCAGTCCAATGAAATCGGGGGGAGGGGGGGACACATTTTCCTGAGATGAGAATGATTTTGGAGCGATGCAACATATACAAATAATGTTCCTACTGTAGTGACTGCAATGGAAGTTGGCTCAGTATTACTCAAGGAATTAATAGTTACAGAACTGTGAGAGTCGAACCATAATCACATTGTTCTGGCGCTAGACAGATGGGTTTCCTTTCAGAGCATTTCATCAAGAGGAAGCCTTTGACCATCACAGAAACAGACTTCATGACTTAGAACCTAGTTGGGCAAGCAACAGCTGCAGAGTTACTTTTCAGCAAGATTTTGGCCATTCAAGACAAAATGTTAAGAACTGAAGACAACAAAACGTTATGGGATAACTATGTGAAAGCCTGCCAGACCTCCACCTACTTCTGATAAAGCTATGAGCTTAGCAGTAGCTGGGATCCTGGTCCAGTTGGATCTGATATTGCTCAGACGTGCATAAAGGCTTTAAAATGTGCTTTCAAACTCTTTCCATTGTGACGTTAGCAACTAGCTATCTAGAGAGTAGGATGCCCCCTCCGCCTCTCCTGGAACTGTGAGCATACAGACTCACTAATGGTGTTTCCTTATTCCCTTTCACTCTGTTAGAAAGGCAACAGATCCAGCCCTGTATTCATGTGTGCAATAAATAGATTTCAGTAGAGCCGAGGCCTGTGCCACACTCGCACTCCAAACACCATTGAACTTGGCCAGGTTTGGAACCTGATCCACAATGTATTGTCCTGGCTGAAACCAGCCCTTCCCAATCCTCCTGCCTCTGGGTTCTTTTGTCTGCTGAAACAGGTACAGTACTTATAGAGATGAAAGGCAGCAAAGCATTTCACAACAGCTTTCTAACTAGGAAACCTGTGTATGTTTGCCACTTACAGGATTCCCTGTGAAATGGCAAGCGAAGCAGAGGCTGGCCACAGTTTTGATGCCTTTTCTTCTATCTGTTTTCTTTTGTTTCCACCCCGATAAGCTGTTTTGCTCTCCGCTTCAGAGAAAAATTGAGACCAGGTAAGCAAGAGCAGATCCCTGCAAGTGAATAGTCATGGAATTGCGCATTTACACCAGCATGCAAGCCAGCCCACCCCGATTGGACTTCAGCATTTTCCTGCAGTGAGAAAATCAGGGCAAGCGCCTGATTATTACAGTGTGGTTGGCACCAGATGGCCTCAGCCCTGGGGATAGGATTGAACACCTCTAATACATCTGCAAGTCCAGTACTGAATGCTGGAACAGAACAGGGCAGACAAGAGAGTCTGCTGTTCTGCAGGACTGCGAATCGCTGTAACACAATAGACGTTGACCTAATGAGTTTTCCAAGCCCCATCCATCACGCTGACAGATTTGGAACCACCTGAACCATCTCAGCTTGTTTAGTAGCTTTCGACAGCTCTGCGTGTGTTCACTCACCCGGGTTATGCACTGGCTGCTCTGACATTTCCATGAAGACTGATTCTGCTCCCCGTGAAGTCAAAGTTTTATAATTGGCTTCAGCAGGTGTAGGACTATGGCCCAAGTTGCTAGAAGCTGGAGTCATATGAATCATTGCTTTTACCAAGTGAGCTCAGGGGCTCCTTGCATCCCTGTAGTTCCCTGAATAAGGCCCTTGTATGCCACTCTCCCATCTTCTTCTGTCTCAAAGATGTGGGTACACATGGCAGTGTCTGTGTACCCACACCTATTCTTCCCTCTGTGCCAGCATCTTTAGCTTTGTATTCCCAGCATTATTATAGGACATTAAAAGTCTATTGGGGCAATGGGCAGAGGTGGGATTCGGACACTCAACTGCTTTCTGAGGAGATCCCAGTGCCAATCTTGGGGCCTAGGATTTCACCAGGTGCCAATGGTGCTTTGAGGATCCAGCTCAAGACTGCAGCAAGAACCAGGGTTTGAGCTGAAGTCTCAGTGACTTGGGCTAATCCCCTAAACACTTGATCAGCCTACTGCAGATGCAATGGACTGGGTAAGGGGCATGATGCTGTTATTGAGAGCAGCTGTTTATCAATCCTAACGATTGCAGCCTAATAAATATTAGTCCTGTTACTTGTATTGCCAGAGAATCAAGCCCTGTCGTACTGATTGCTGAAGTCAGCAGGTAGCCTAGATTTACAGCCCTGAGTGAGATCGCCATCGGGCCAAGTGAGATTATTTTTCCTTTAAAGTCTAAATATATATTTCAGGTTTAGAAAAGCTTCTTGGGAAGCCCCTTTCAGCTTTACCTTCCACTCAAAGAGAAGCACTGAGCCCAAAGGCTGTTTGGCATATGTTTTATTATAAATGGTCATCGATACAGAACCAAAATCATCTTTATAAATATCTGCAAGGCGCACGTAAACAGAGCAGGTAAAAACCATTCTTTAGCACGAGCAATTAGCTTGCCTGGCAATTTTATATTCGATGAGCCTGGTCTTAGGGAAGAGGAGGGGAACATGGGGACTAAAACAAAAAAAAAGTTCTTGTATGGTCAATGTGTTCCCTGCTGCTCTAGTAGGCAGGAACTACAGCGTGAAATTGGATCTCTCTTTCACGACTGTAAATCTGGAGTCACCCCATTTAAGTTAACGGCATTAATGCTGATTTCAGAACCTCTGCCCCCTTCACACTGAGCGGTGCCTTGGCTGGCTACTGCAGCAGAGCGGCCAAGCACCGATGGCAGCATGGAGACTGAGTTCCTCTCTCACATCTTAGTGCTACTCTCTCCTACGGCAGGATTGAGGCACACTGCTGGGCACCTTTCTTCCCTTGCTGCCTGCATTGAATTGCAGTTGTTAACCTCCCCTTTATGTAAACATCCAGACGCATGCATTAAACGACCAACCCCACCTCCAAGTGCCTCCTTGACCACGAGTGAAACCAGGCTGTTCTGCACATGGTTCAACGCACCACCTGGGCAAATGGTTTTAAGTCTGATCCTCATTAACCCACAGTGGTGCAGCTTGTTACACTGTGATGGCCTTGATGGGGATCTGAATGCCAATAATGGCTAAGTGGCGGTGCTCCCCTTACACAAGGGGTTAGAGCCAACTAATGTGACAAGTGCAGCGAGCAATTCCTTTAGCTTACATGGGAGACGTGTGTATTGGTAACGCAGTTCGGATCCCCATAAGGGCCACTGTTGTGTAATGACCCCTCCCAGGGGATGGCATGTTGCACACGCATAATAGCATCAAACCAACGTGTTCACTTTATGGCAGGTGATGTGGCGCCAATGGTTTAATCCTACAGCTTCACATTTACTAGAGCAGCACTTCCCTTCCTTTATAACGCTAGGGCTTAATCTGCCTTCTGCTGGCTCTATGTTGTGCTGGAGAGAGAGGTAGAGAATGCAAATGCTGTCCTGCGGGTATTGCACTCTTGTGTTAGGAGAGAGCAACTGTGTAGCACAAGCACCCTCACCCTGTGAAGCTGTGTCCCCCAACTTGACTGTGACAAGAGTTACAACATAGCTTCCTTCCATCTTTTATCAACGGGGCACTTAAAACAACTCCTAATTAGCACCAAAATGACAATTTCTGCTTTTTCTTCTATGGCATTGGCCCACTGCTGTGATCAACACTTTGGGGCCCTACTTGGCAGTAATTCAATCAGTGACACAGCTGAATGCAAGTGGAGGGATGGTAACAAGCTTAAGGACAAGAAATAATGGCAGTGTTGTATTCGCAAAGGGCCAGAGTCCTCTCAGGAGAGGGCTGGACTCAATCCTCCCAGCTGGAGAGGTGGCTGTGGTTTTATTCAAAGCGACGCAGGTGGTTGTACAGTGACTGCACATAGGTGAAAACACACATGGGATCCGGCTTCCGACCCATCACCATCATGTCGTCCACTTCTATCAGGCGGTCACAGTGAGCCAGTTTCCTGTAGTAAGAGCAAAACAGATCTGTCATATAAAAGATTATGGCCACCGTCTGTACATATATTTCCAAGGTCCAATTGCTGCCTTGATTCAGCATCATCTTGGCTTGTACGAGCCTCCTGTTCCTCTTATCGCCTCTCTCCACACTGAGGGATAAGACTCAAAGCTCAGTGGGATTTTTTCCCCTGGGTTCTTAGGTTTTGGGATCAAGCCCCTGGTCTCTGCTGGACATGCCCCCACCTCTCAGCAAGCTACATGCCTCAGCAAACAGGGTTTGCAGATTTGCAATCCCCTCCCGCTCTCAGGGGAAAGCAAGCCTGGGGTTGTTCTGGCAACTGCTTTGGATGCTGGCAAGTGGGACAGGATCTTATGAAGAGGCAAAGGAGGACAGGATGTTTCTTTTAGGTGCGAGTGGTTCAGGCAACCTTCCTGGACAGTTATCAGGATCAAGTGCTGAAATCAGGCTCACATCCAAAATCAAGCATAAGGGAGGCGTTTGCTGAGGCAAGACGAAGATCTGTGGAACAACGCAGGCTGGGCAGGAAAAGGCATAACCAAGAGAACCCAGGTAACACTGGAAGAAAGAAAGAGAGGAATTTCCCCCGCACGTCGGAAGACAGTAGCTTGGTCAGAGCCACCGACAGCCATAGAGATACTGACACTTCTACCAGCAGTTCTCATCTCATTCCAGATTATTACTGTTTGTCGGGATGTCTTCTGTTTTAGCTTATGTTTGTCTCCATACTTCATCTTTGATATGAGAACATCAGAATTCTCCTTGGAGAGCCAAAGGCAGGCTTAAATCAGTGAATCAGCTAAGAACCAGGAGTCTTCCTCGCCTGATTGATAATTAGCAGCAGAAGTATGAAAGATTATCTTCCCCCTTTCATTTTTAATGTTCTTCAGCTGAACTTCCTTACAAAGAACAGTGAGTTTGCCTGACTGCTGAGCGGTCCAAAGTATTTTGCTTCCTGGCAAACTGCAACTGATGGTTGATCCCAGTACTACTGACATTTTGCATTGAAGAACTTGGGTCTAACTGGGCCCTACTTCAATGTGCAATGGTGTTTGAAGCCACATTGTAAGTTGTAGAAGCCTGTAGCCATGCACTCCTGCATCCTGTGATTATATGAAAAGAGCATGCTGAACCTGACTAAATACCCCATGCATTGTTCTTATTGTTACCCAAACTACACAGCACAACAACAAAGTATGAGTCATGTTTCAGCTGGATCAAGAACCTTAAAATATCTTTTCTTCTGCATTTAAACAAAATAATCAAATAGATGAAATCCCAAGATCGGTGGAACTTTTACAGTCTTTTCTCTGATGCCTGATGAAGGGTGTTTGTGCCCGAAAGCTTGCAATTAAAGACTTTTTTTTTGCACAAATCTTGTTGGTCTAATAAAAGATATCACCTCTGTCCATGAGCCCTGATTGCAAGATCAGTGAACAAACTCTCAGGCTGCTTTACATGAAAATGCCTGTAAAGTCCTCCAATTTGGATGACGCACGCTGCAGAAACCTAAATGTAACACTGAAGCTCTAAACACCAGTAAAAGTGTGGCAATCTGCAAAACAGGAGTTAATTAACTGTTTTAAACAGCTAAAATGAACTACTCTGCATAAACTGTAGCATTTTAGAGGGGCCCTGGAGGGTTGGCTTGACTGCTGTCCAGTTGCAATACAATCTGATCTATAAATGAATAGCCAGATTCGTCTTTATAGCACAGCACTGAGTTTCCAACACTAGGTCTATTATGAAACAACAATGAGATAGAGCAGAATAGGATTTTAACGAGAATATTACTATCACTCCATCTCTATTAAGCCACCTGCACCTTCCTAAGCCTGGATTTGGTCTTGACAATGCTGATTAGGCCAAAGCTTTGTTCTTGATGTTTACTCTCAGGAAGGAAGAAGGGAAACATCACTTGACATTCCCATTGGTCTGGACAGAAGAAACATCTGCTGGAGACTGGAGGGGCCTGTTGGCTGACCTTTGCAGCTGGTTAAAACAATTCTGCCTTTAATAGACAGTGGATCTGTGCTCTGTTGCTGCTTACAGGCATAAAAAAACCAAACCAAAAACAAAACAAAACAAAACAGTGCTTTACTTTAAACTCTGCGTGCCCCCATACTGAGCCCAGAAGAGGCATCACATTAGTTGGACCAAACTCACCCAGCGTCTGTATAGATCTGGCGCTTCAGCGGGGCTTTTATGGTGCTTTTATCTAATAGCAGATTGAATATTTATAAAGATGATTTTGGTTCTATTTGATTGAATCAGCTATTACATAAAAGTGCCAAAAAGCCCCACTAAGCATGTGATCTATGTAGATGCAGTGGAGCGGGGTCAAACTAATGTCCTGCTTCCTCTGGTAAAGCGCTTTTATTTCCCCCCTGTGTCTGTCAGCATCCCATTTGAACAAGCAAGAGTTCTGTGCTCTGTAGTCACTAGAGGCAGTGTTTTTTCCTTGATGCTATTTGGAGAATTAAATAAGACTGAAGCTGCTAATTCTCCAACTCCTGTTTTCCAGACATAGAGTCTGCCTACGCTGCGGGTATCTGCATGAGTGGAGCTAGTTGAATATAAAATCACTTGTGCAGATGTGCTGCACTGCTGGGTTTGGTCTTCAGCAGCGTAGCTCAGTGTCAGACCTCAGTGAGCCGCTTCAGTACAACATATCTGTGGTGTGATTTACACCTAGAGAAGACTGGTGCAGAGATCCTGAGGACAAGCAGGCTCTTAGACAAGTACGGCTTTTAATTACAGTGCCATGGGCTGATGTTTTACTTGCTCGTATTCACTTGTCGTGACAACAGTTCACAGGAATAACAACTTGCCTCCCTCTTAATAATTCTTTTCAAAGCAAGATGAGTGTTGCTCTAGAAAACAATGGTATTGCACTACAAACAGCAACAATGGAAACAACACAACCCTTAAGGATCTGGTGCTGCACTCCTTGGGTGCCAAAGAGTCAGAAGGAAAATCCAGAGCAGGAAAACAGAAAGTTACAGAAAAGGCAAGGCACAGAATTCATGTGACATACATACAAGCAACACATCGGCACCAAATGCATCTAATGGCATTGGTGAAAGGACTTACTATACACTACATGCAAACCAGAAATAAATGCCATTTTAAAGGACTGCTCAAGCACAGCCATTTGACTGATGCATGTTTTAAGTTCTTGTTTCTCCACTTATTTCTGTGTTTACCTCCCCAGTAAAAAACATTAAACTTACCACTATTGTATGTATGTTCCCGTGACTGAAATGTTGCTTGCCATGACAAACTGTCCCTAAGTGACAGGGTGGAGGAAAATGATCTGAGGTTCAAACGTCCCTGTAATAGGCATGCTTGTTCTATTGTGGGTAGTACCAAACTCCTTGGCAGGTAGCAATTCTCCTACCTGCCAAGTTACAGTACAGTAAAGTAGACACATTCTGTGAGTTGGGGTTGGTTAGGGACTATGGCATCATGAGTCTGTGGTTTTATTTTAGTTCTTGTTTCCACATCCTGAACTCTTCAACACCAGGGTAAAGAATCTTTGACCGTGTAAGTTGAAGGCACAGGATCAGATTCTGAGCTGCCATCAATCAACCTCACATCTTTCAAATCAATGGACGCAGGCCAATGTACTCCCAATGCACTGAAGTTTTGCCAGTTTACAATTTACAGGAACTAGTCAAGATTTTTTTAAGGTGAGTAGTACTCTTAACAATGGAGTCAAACCTTTTTTCTTTAAAATTCAGTTTGCTTGGCTCTTCCACTTTGCCTAAGTCCTTCAGGCAGCTGGATGTTGGGTTGTACAAAGTGCGTCCATTTAGTTCCCAGCTATGCTGAAATCCAACTGGTTAACAATTACTTGTGTCATACAGCTCATTCTGTTTACTTTGTCAGAGTTACTAATGATCCATGCTAAGTACATTTCTGTTTTTTCCCCAAATCTCAATAAATAAAATGTGTAAGATTTAAGAGCTTTCCAGATGTTAGTTCTAAATCTGTGTAAATGCCCAACCTGTCAGCAACACATAGTAATAATATAATTTATTTGCAGGAGCTATTTATTTTATTTTCCCTTTAAAAAAACACATGGGGGAAATAACATCCCATTAGAAAATGGGTTTTGTTGACTCAGGCTACTGGACTGACCCCTGGAAAGCTGCTACAAGCTAGAAGTTGGCAAATTAAATCACCTGAAAACATTCAAGCGAATGTGATGAAACACCAGATTTAAGTCAGGTGCACCAGAAGTTTAATTGAACGCACATACACTCTTGTGACAGTCTAATGACCTTATCCTGTCTCCCACTGAGGTCAGTGGGAGGACTGCCTTTGATTTCTATGGAATCCGAACCCAGCGATAATACATTCCAATGCAAAGTCTTTCACAAGTACTCTAGGGCTAAGCATTATGGAGGGAGGATTTTCAAAAGGGTTTAGGAGAACTAGTACTGTTTGAAAATTCCCCTTGTAAAATTGCTATGAGACAGGGTAAAAATACTGAGAGTAAAAATCCTCTGGGTAGCGAGGCAAATTGAGTACATAGGTTTAGAGGGAGAATTTGAATGTATGCATATGAGTAATGGGTAGATCTGAATGCATGAACCTGGGAGCAAACTAGGGCACAGAGCACTGCAGTTTGTTTGCAACCACTACTTGGGCATGTCTATACGTGCATTAACATGCTTTAGTTAATGCGCATTAAATCTAGTACCTCCATTGTAAGGTACTAGGAAAATGCACATTAATCTGTCTTAATGCACATTAGCCTATTTTAATAGGTATTAACTAAATAGCACATTTTAGTGATGCTTTAATGTGCATTAAAATAAGTGAATTAGTATTAAAGCACATGTGTAGACACGCCCACTTATATCTTACCAGACGTCTGCTAAAAATGCATCTTACTTTTTATTTCTGAGCCTCCTGTTCTATGTGCTCACATGCACAGCTTTTTTACCACTTCCTAGCATCATAAATTTCACTTTGTAATGTATGGCACGAGGGACAAATTATTAAACACTCACTGCACAACCTGGTGAGACAACGCTAGATGCACTTCACAGACATGTAATATGGTACTCACTCAGCCATGGTGAAAGCTAGCTCAAAGTTTTGCTTGCGATTAGCTGGGTCAAGCTCATTGTAATCGAAGGCTTCCGGAAAGAAAGAATGCACAAGGGCACAAAATGCCATCCCATCACTCCAGCTCGAGGAGAAGTTCTGCAGATCAATGTGCTGTCATAATGCAAACAGACAGTTTTAGGACAAGGCAGAGACTTGGAACAGCAGCTGGCCACTCTTGCTGGACAGTATCTCATCTGATACCAGGACAGTACCTGAATGAGAAACATTGACCTCCCCAGCAATTCAAGTCTGATGCAGGTGCAAGGCAGATGGGTGGCCTAGGGGCCTGATGCGAAGTTTACAGAAGACAATGGAAAGATTTCCATCAACTTCAACAGGCTTTGCATTGGCCCTAGGTCCTGAACCTGCATTCAGGTAACACGAGTGAATGACTTATCTTGCATCTCTAGCAACCATGAAGTAAGTTGCTAACCAGATAGTGGCATTTGTCTGCTGCAGCTCAGGAGTGTGCAAAGACTCAATACTTTACTCCCTGCTCAAATCATCTCTAACCCCCTGACTAGCACAACCAATTTCAATGGCACTACATGGGTGCAAACAAGGGAAGGGCTGGACCCCACTGGATGGCACAACATGAAAGTGAGCCCATCAGCAATAGCCAGCCCTTCGCAATTACAGCGAAGAGTCCAGAGTTCCTCTGGATTTGCACCAGTGCAATAAAACAGAATTGGGCTCTTTTGCTTCATAACACTCAATTTTTTTCCAATATAGAAAATCCAGTCCCTGGTCTTTCTGCTTAGAGCTAAAATAGATTTTAATAATATTCCCAACAAACTGAATGTTTAGAGCTCAGGAATAACATGCTGTCTTTTGTTTTATCACCTAATAAAACTGTTGAATGTGCACCATTTTGCTCTCACACATCTGGGAAAGCTGTTCTTTCTCCTGAGAATTACACTGAGCAATGCAGGCTGATGCCAGGCAATTTCAATGAAAACTTATAAGCCTAACTCTCTTCTCAGTTACACTCATACAGCCTCACAGGACATGAACATGTTGAAACTGGGGGAATTTAATCCCCACCATTTGCTATATCCTAACATCTTTAATTCCAAAATAGAGCAACCCATTCTACCACATAA